AACCATTTTTTTTTTTTTTTTTTTACATACAAGGTAATTTCGTTTACGGAATGTTATTGTTTTTCGGATCTTTATCGTTTTCAAACAAGTACCCTCCGTAGATACCCGGTTTTTACAATGTCGTTAGGGCTTAATATACTGATTATTAATTTGTCGAGCTTTTTTTTAATTTTAAAGATTTCTTCAAACGAATACAATTAAAAACATAATTCGAATTTAACTTGTAGTTCACACAAGTAAAGTTTACTATAGCCAATCAAATATTATCATTTATCACAAATATACCCTCTATATACCACTAACCTGGTATGAACCCCGGGAAACCTCAGATACCTTTAACCACACTATATAAACAAGTAATTCGTGAAAACTAGTGTAAAACAAACAGTTATTATGCCAAGACGGAGTAAGAACAAAGTTTAGGCCGATATATTGAACTTAATCAAGGTAATATTTTTAGAATATCAATTCGGATCATTTTTCAAACCAGGATTTCTAATTGAAGGAAGCTAAATTTGTTTATACTTGAAGATGTATATTACAAAATCTCAATAGTTAGGTTAACTGATATGAGAAAATGTTTACATGTGCCTTTGCATAACTTTTTAATAAATGTTTAAATGACACAGATGATTGAAATATCACGATACGAAAACATCAGGCCACTAGGCTATAACACAATCCAGGCCATCCGGAAAATACTCGTCTCCAGACCGGTAACTCCGCTCCTGTAAAACATGTATAATATGTATAAAATAGACTATCGAGTCCATTTTATCGAACAACAACATTATTGCTATCGATATGTTTGATTCACAATGAAAAACTCAGTATTTATCGTTAAGAATGAATAATTAAATAATAATAAATAGTTAACACGGATGGTATTTTTCATCAGCGGGACATTTGGGGGCCGCCGGTTGCGTGGAAGGAAAATCGCATAGGCATATCGATTGATTGACTTCCATTCGAACACATTTTAAAATTAAATATTTTTTGCCTTTTTAAAAAATACCGGAAATATATATTTTACAAAATATAAATCATACACACGTGAGTATTAAATTAGTCATCGTATTGTTATTCAGGTTATTACCTCGTGAAATAATGCACTTATTGTTCTACTCGCCTAATACGGCGTACCATACTGTTAATTTGAATTGTGTCAGACTTGTCATATATTGTATTGATGATGGGAATACAGTGTACGCGTATTATGACTCGAAAAACCGTACGCTTTACCCAAATGAGCATTGAAAACATTCAAAATAACGAGTGTAGAAATAAGTAAGTATATTATAACAGAAGAGCAATTCGATTATTGAAAAAAAAAATGAATTAAAAATTTGATACTGCTCGTAGTTGGGCCACTGTTATAGGTGGAAAGTTAGAAATGTAGAACGAATAAAATCATTTTAATTAAAACAGTAAAAACATGACAAACGTCAAATGCCTATAAAAAGATAAAAAATCGACAGAATGTTTTGAACATATAACCGTAACTTGATAGGGCTGATATTTGTATTCGGGTCTCTACAATTGTTGTAATCGAATCAAAACCAAAACCTGAAGTCGAAAACAACAATTCTTTAATAAAGTAAACTTTCCCGTTTATCCTATAAATATTATTATGAAAAATTTTTTTGTCGATTTTTAGATTTCCCGTAAAAAAAAAAAATTACGCACATAAAACTATTTTCGAAAAATGATGTCCTCGTGTTCAGAATCAATTTTAATAATTATAATTTTTTAAAAAGGTTTAATTTCCGTTGAGATATTGAATATATTTTATAGTAGAAAGTAAACTATTATAATTTGCCATTATATATTAATCAATCTATACGCGTATTTGTATCAAACGAGTGGAAAACACACCTGAGTAATTATAACATGCGTGAACCTCGTTAAACATATTTGTTTGTTTTGTGTACGAAATATAAACCGAAATCTATATAACGAAATCATTTCCAATCCGGTAACACACAGTGTATTATCAACATATCCAAGTGGGCCGCAGGTAGTGATAATTCGTCTACGACAATACGGAAATCCACAAAGAAATTTTCACTGAGGAAATTTGACTCATCTGCAATCAACATTTACAATATAACCGATTGATTTAGTAATAGTTATTTTTCAAATTTGAATATCTTAAGTTTCACAATTTACGATTAAATATTTAATTTTTTTCCTTAATTTTGTTATACCGGCTATATTTTTAACACATGTTATAGCATGGGTATCTGGTGCTGAGACGAATTATTGGAAGATTAACAAAAATGCATCTTGTTATCAACCTGGTGTACTTTGTGTTTGTTGTAGAAATAAACGTCTTGCAGGAGAAGAGCCTACTTTGAACTATCCACTTCTTTGTGAAGACATAGGGTTATAATTTTGTTATGACGCTAATAAAAGTTGTTTATGTTGCATGGGATCACGTGATTAATGAATATAATATTATTTATTTATTGACTTTTTTTTTTTTTTGTATTTATTTTTTGGCTGCCTGTTAAAAACTTTTCTACTTTACGGTTTCACCTACTGCAGTTTCCGATTTGTCGGGGTTTTGTTTTGTGTTGTTTTTTTTTTTTGTTTATCGTTCGAACGAGCCCCCCGACGGAGGCGTTGGCGACGTCGAAGGTAAACAAATCGGTTGTCCTCCGGCGCTCGCCCGTTTACCCGGCGTCACCGCGTAAACGTGTGTTTACGATAACGTCCCACACGGCTTTAGAATATCCCATAATAATACACGCTTGGGTACGATAACCGGGATATCAGTTTATGATTATTCTATATATGTAATTTAGAATAGTACTGTCATTCGATAACAATAATATTATTATTATTGTGTTGTCATATGGGTAATTATAACGCATTATATATTGTGTAGGATATCCCGTCCGTAACAATTACACGTGAGCACTAATATGCCGGATTACTTGACGATTTATCTCGAACTTCCTGGATTATACTTGTGTACGAAATCACCGAAAGAAAAAAATTTAAAAAAAAGGAGATATTGACGGGCTCGGTACCACAACGTAACGAGTTCACTTTTCGGAATTATTTTTAGCCGAAATAAAAAAAAAAAAAAAACATCCGTATCTATAGGATTTGTATTCTTTCCGTCCGGAATTCGGTTAAACCGGACGAGTACTTATCGTCCTCTTTTTTCCGCGTCTCGTACAAGTTGTACACGTACTTGCATTATTGTTTATACCGAATTATGTACCGTACCAATCGTATCCATTCGAAACCGTCACACAGCCATCACCCGGACTTGCCTTGTTGTCGCGTCGGGCTCTACAATTACGACCGAAGTGTGAAGACCCCACGGAATATCACGTCGCATTGTAACGATAAAAGACAAAACGAATCACAAATATAAAAATTCCCACATATTTTTTGATAGTGGGTTCGAGATTTTAGTTTTGGGGGCTTTACAACGATATTAAATCGTCGCGGCGGGAATAGAGACGGTTCCGGTTCTACGAAAAGATCCGCCGGACGAGGGGGTCGAATAGAATATTGCGATTTTCACAACGAGACAATATCATCGTTAATAACTATCGCAGTTAACGCTGGCGCGCGGTAGAAGACGAGTGATAATAATAAAAATATAATACGCTGTATAGGTAACAAGACGTTCAAAACTGTACCCGCAATCTTCATTATCACGGGAGTGTGCAGTTTTTCGCTACGATATTATCGCGTTCGCCTAGGACTGACCGTCCGCGAACAATAATTACAAGGACGCCGGCCGTTTTGAAATTCTTGACATTTATGCGTAATTTACACATTTTTACAGCTACGTTCGTCACACCGACCGCAGCGGTTTCGGGAAATTTCGAATTATTTGATAATATTATAATAATTACAGTAGGTAGTTAGCGATAAAAACATTTCGGTCAACACAGTTATACGGGTAATTTCACGAGGAACAATACCTATAGTGCAAGAAACGAACGCGAGAAACGCGGTGCCTCTGTTGATTATACGAAATTTTCCAACATTTTTTTCAGATTCCTAATGTAACTAAGAGACTGCCTATTATAGTTGTATAAATATGGTTTTTTTTTTTATTCTCTCGGAAAACGCATACGGTCAGTTTAAAAGCACTGATTTTTTTTTTCAAATCATACGTTTATACGCCGATTTATACCGTTGCGCGTTTACGTTTTATAATAAACCAAATTACCTTAGTAAACACTAACCCTCTCAATTACCCGCCGACAACATGGCCTACACAATTCATTTACATCAATTTACGACGAGTGCGCATCGTCAGAGATGAAATCCAGTAAACACTTTACAATCCGTATTGTTGGTTCAATAATTGTGTTGGGCATAATATTCCAAATGTTCAAAACCAATTTAAACAATCATTGTCTGTTGGATATTAGACAATTAGTTTTTATCGAATTTCAAAATGAATTGTCCGAAAGAACTATTGTACTGAATATGTTTAAACATCATTATGTGTAAAAGACTGAAAGAGATTATAGTGTTAAGCAAACACAAATACAATATACACGGGGTGAATGAAATCCATTTACAATTAACGAACGTTTATTGTATATTTTTTTAAATTTCACCACAAACATTTGATAAGTATTATCTAAATGTTTAATTATTTACTGGGAAGCGATCATCATTATATTTTACTATAACAGACCCTGCGGTGACTAACCTGACACGGTTTCGCATTAAATAATAGAGAGTTATTGAGTGCCTACATCCTACACGATGAAACGACGAATAGTCTAAGGCCCGCGTACACAGTATAAGCCATTTTTTTTTTTACATACAAGGTAATTTCGTTTACGGAATGTTATTGTTTGTCGGATCTTTATCGTTTTCAAACAAGTACCCTCCGTAGATACCCGGTTTTTAAAATGTCGTTAGGGCTTAATNTTAATTTTAATGATTTCTTCAAACGAATACAATTAAAGACATAATTCGAATTTAACTTGTAGTTCACACAAGTAAAGTTTACTATAGCCAATCAAATATTATCATTTATCACAAATATACCCTCTATATACCACTAACATGATATGAACCCCGTGAAACCTCAGATACCTTTAATCACGCTGTACGAACGATTAATTCGTGAAAACTATTGCTAAACAAACAGTTCTTATTCAGAGGCGGAGTGAGAAGAAAATTTAGGCAAGTATATTCAGTTTTATTCCTAGTATTTTTTCCCGCGTTTTAATTTGAATTGATTTTTTTTTTTTAAACGAAAGAGTATATCACGAAGAATGTTTCTATCGAAATAGCATTTGTCTAAGTTAAAAACACCTCTACTAATTAAAATAAGCGTGTAAATTGTAAAAATTGTATTCTTATAAATATACATATACATATTGTGCGGCCCGTGGGTTTCCAGGTACTTGTAACCTGAACATTTTTTCGTTTTGTGTGTTTTTCGGCGTGCGTTCCGAAAGTTTATCGATGAAAATAATCTCGGGCATCGCGCATGCACTAACAATATGTGCACCGGTTTAGTCTATATTATATTATAGTTAATATTCTAAAAAATCGTGTTAAAACTGAGAGCTCAGTATAGCTGAGTGAGGAAGCTATTACTCGCAATATTAAATAGTAAAATACCACCAGGTCGTCCGGTCGTCGTCGCACGCAAACAATCATTTTCATTTCACATTTATATAGTTAGCATAGTCTTGACACAACAAAACACGTTTAGTCCGCCGAAGGTGGACTACCCACTTTCCACCTATTTGTTTACATTCAATACTGATTACTGACACAGTCAAAAACAAAAAAAGAATAGTTCAGAAAAAAAAATGGCACGGGCAACGACGGGCGGGATCAACTATAGGTTTATAGGCAGTCATCGTTCACAGTGCTCTATTCCTCTTTCAGTCCCACATGCCCACACACACACACATTGCAATAACTCAGTTATTTTTTGTTTGACTACCGAAATATCCATTAGAAATCTAACTATTAATTTATATGGCGAAACAACGTTTGCCGGGTCAGCTAGTAAATTATAAAATCCCAATGGGTAGGTCAACTGTTATAAAAAAAATTAAAATGTGTGTCCCGGCATACATTTTTACTAAATGTTAAAATAAACCAAGTAAGTAAAATATTATAACACGAAAACAACGGACCACCAGGCTATAACACAATACGGGCCATCCGAAAAATTCCCATTTGCAGACCGGTCACTCCTCCCCTGTATAAAATGTATAACTTTATATAGTCTATTGTATAAAACAATAGCATTAATGCTATTGACGTGTATAATTTATTGTGGAAAACGTCAGTAGTTTATCGTTAAGAACGAATAATTAATAAGAATAAATGATAAACATATAACCTTTAACATAGAAACTATTTTCCATCAGTGGGACCTTTAGGGGCTGAGCCCTAGCCAAATATTGTCAATGGGCGCTGCGACCCCGAAATACCTATGCGCTCAGAACCTATGAGTTCTAGATCCTTCCGCCCGTTCCGTGAAAATTCAATAAAAACTCACGTAGACGTATCGATTGATTAACTTCTATTCAAATGCAATATACAATATGTGAAACATATATTTTAAAATTGAATATTTTTGAAAATTATACGGAAAAATCTCCGATGTCCATTTTTAGATTTCCAAGAAAAAAAATTTGCGCACATAATACTATTTTTGAAAAACGATGTCCTCGTGTTCAGAATCAATATTAATAATTATAATTTTAAATATATATTTAATTTCCGTTGTGATATTGAATATATATTACAGTAAAAAGTAAACTATTATAATTTACCATTATATATTAATCAATCTATACGCGTATTTTTATCAAACGGGTGGAAAACACACCTGAGTAATTATAACGTTTGTGAACCTCGTTAAACATATTTGTTTGTTTTGTGTATGAAATATAAACCGAAATCTGCATAACAAAATCATTTTCAATCCGGTAACACACAGTGTATTATCAACATATCCAAGTGGGCGGCAGGTAGTGATAATTCGTCTACAACAATACGGAATCCACAAAGAAATTTTTTTTGAAAAAATTTGACTCATCTGCAATCAACATTTACAATATAACCGATTGATTTATTAACGGCCATTTTTCGAATTTTAATATTATATGTTTTACAATGGACTTTAAATATTCAATGTTTTTCCTTCACTTTGCTCTATTGGTTATATTTTTAAAAAATGTTTCAGCACTATGGGAACCCGGTCATGAGCTCAATTGTACGGGTAGCAAAAATGTATCTTGTATGAAGCCTGATATAAATTGTTTTTGTTGTAGAAATAGTTGTCTTCCAACAGAATTAAATACAATAGGTCATCGACTTGCTTGTGATCGAATACCCTTAAAATATTGTTTTAACAATAACACAGATTGTGTATGTTGTAAAGAAAAATGTGATACTTAATAAAAAATTATTTATTTGTTAACTTATTGTTTTGTATTTATTTTTTGCTTTTGTTTTTTTAATTACTTTTCTACTAGCTATTTTTATTTTTATTTTCAAGTGTACCTAACATTATTCAGAATAAAAATGTCTATCAAGTTGATGTTTCATAGAAATCGGTTTGTGATTTTTTTTCAAAATTGAGAAAGACCATGGACAGAACGTAAGAAAGATGACAAAATGTAAGCAATGACGGTTACTGTTATTTTCGATATTTATTATTAGATTTTGAGAGGAGCGAGGATCGTATTGGAATTACAATGATGTTTATTTTATTTTTTATGTATATATTTATATACTGTGTACGATAAATGTACCAGAAATATTTCACCGGTGTATCAAGGCGTAGTATTTTTCTGAAAGTGAATTATTTCTAGTTGGTAGTTTAAGTAGGTTATTTTTGATTTTTCAATCATTTTTCATACTATTGAGTAAAGACGTGGACAAAACTGGAAAATTTACGAAAATAATGCTATATTATTTTTAATGTTAGTTTTTGTTGTAATTCAGTTCAGAAATTTTTTTAAAACTTGAAATTTGAAAAAACCTTTTATTTCTCATTTTCTAGACGTTGTAAAATTTTCAAAATATTTAAGTTGTTTAAGAGTTAATTATAAACTTTTTAATTTTGAAATTATTTCGCGAAATTTTTATTCGGTAGGTACTCTCTAGATAAGATTGCTAGACTTAACCGAAATAGGTACTGGATAGTGTAATTGAAGGTTCCTCATTAGATTAAATAAAAGACGAATAAGAAAATTTTGAGTTAACGTAATTTTTTTTTTTTATCAAATTTTAATGAAATTATAAATATTCTGACCTTTTAACACATGTGTAACCGAATTTTGCTCAGAGTCGTTTTTTGTTAACAATGATAAATCTTTGCGTAAAAATATACAATAAATTTCCCCCTTTATCCGAAATTCCTAACTCCTAATATACAACAATGATCCACGAATCTTGCGAAGTATGTTCGTAAGTGAAGTATTCCTTTAATTCTGTTACAGTTTTTGTTATGACCAAATTTTAAACACAGTTTTCAATGTTAATTTTGTTTACATATAAATTTAAATGAACGGTCATTATTATTACATCATGGAACATGTATCTGTTGATACTTACATACTGTTTGTTTATTGAAAATGTGCCACCTAAAAAACATCTACTCGTATTCTCATCTTTACAAAAAATGTTTACGACTTAGTACAGCTTATGCAATGAACCCCGAGTTAAATTTCGCCAAAGATTAATTGTATCCTCGCATCAACAAATACCTGTCGGCAACAATAAGCTATTGCTAACGAATTAACGATTCTGAGCGGAGTTCAGTTGTCAGTGGTACTTTGCCAATAATATATATATATATTTGCCGTATCACGAAATAATAATTAAGAAGGTATTATATATATTTTCTTTACAAATATTTGTTTAATGGTGTGCCCATTTTCCCGTTTTTCCTACTTTTTTACCGGTTTGCCTAGGTTTTTTTTTGGGAGGGGGTTTCACATTTCTTGAAAGAACTCTATGGAACATCAAAAAGTTACCTCTTTCAAGTACTTCCCCAACACCAATTTCCTTTCAGAAAAGAAGCTACATTTAAATATCGGCACAAGATTACTGGTAGAAAAGTAAGCTCTTCGCACCATTCGGAAACCAAAATTATTCTTTTTTCGAATTTCGATGCGAACTAACGAAAAAAATAAAAGAGGTGATTCTGCTGATGGGTGTGCCATTGTTGAAGGTAAGAGTTGGTATGGTAGAAAACGTAAAGTAATTTAATTTATATCTCTACGCAAAGATAAATTAATTTTTTTTTTTTCATTATGGTTTTTAAGATATTTATATACACATACATGATTAAATTTTTATTTTTAAGTTTTTATTTAGATATTATAAAATTTTTTGTCCAAACATAAATGGTTAAACATTAAACACGAGGTTTATTACAAGTTGACAGTAATACTTAGTTGTAAATAAAAAAGTTGAACGTATTGTATTAGTTATATATTTTCATGGGAGTTTCAAAAAGTTTAGTGATTAATTTTAAATATGTATACAATCAATATGTAACAAAGTAATAAAGAATAACAAAATTATTAAAATGATTAATTCTCGTACATAAATAAAGTAAATAAATACAGTAAATGACAAATGTACGTATAAAAATAAAATAAATAAATGAATGAATTGGTCGTCTGGAGTATTATGATAAGTGTTCATAATAAAATTATTATACGGCCGGTTTCGAATTAAAAATCATGGGTATTTCAGAGTAAAAATTTAAAACGCGATTAAATATAAAAAATTAAATTAAAGAAAACATAGAAAAAACTTGCAAATCGATCTTTTTACATAGAGTATAGAAATAATTTATTTTGACAGACGAGATTATTTAAAATTAGTTATTATTAGACATAGATATGTTAAGAAATATAAATTATTTGGTTATTATTTACTATCTAAAATCATCTAAAATATATTGATATAAGACATCACATTTAAAATCGGTTTGAACATTTAAAATATTATTGAAATTATTTNCTATGTTTGAATTGAAATCAAAATTTATAATATGGTTATTTTCTAAAACGTGTTTAGCGAAAATTGAATTGAAAGGGGAAGTATTTTTTAATTTTATTCCAGAAACGTGGTCTTTGTATCTTATTTTAAAATTTCTTTTTGTCTTACCTACATAAAATCTATTACAGTTACATTTAAGTTTGCATATGCCGAAACGAAGGGGGATTTTTCGTCAAGATTTTATTTCTATTGTTTACATGTCTGATTAAATTATTATTAGTATAAAAAGCGATTTGTACATTATTTGTATTGTTCTTCAGAATTTTAGCGAATTCGTCAAACATATTATTTTGATATTTCATATCAAAATAGTTAACAACATTATATTGTGAGTTTTGTATTATTTTTTCTTTAATACATCCATGAATTTTTTTGATTATTATTTAAATTGAAATTATTTCTTTGGGCTAGATTATAGATGTATTATTATTATTATAGACAATATTGAGCTCACGTTGATAATTATGTTTATTTAATGGAATACGTTCAAGCCTACAGAATATTAAATTAAAAAACGATATGTTTTAAGAAAAATGGTGATTAGAATCATGTTTTATTATAGCATCAGTTTGTGTAGGTTTCCTGTAATTAATAAAATCAAATTTATTAGTTATTATGGGAACTATATGGTCTAAGAAATTAAATTTATTATTCATTTGTACTTCGAGTGTAAATTGAATGTTTTTATTTATTTTGTTTAAGTTGTTAACAAAAATGTCCGCTTGTCTATTCGAACCTCTAAATAAAATGAACGTGCCATCAACATATCTATAACATGTTTTTATAAATGGACTATATATTTTGTTGTTCAATAATGTTATTGGTTTTATAATTTTGCATGTCAATTTCATATAAAATAGCACTTAAAGGACAACCCATAATCAACCCATCTTTTTACGAATATAATTCTTTATTATTATTTTGTAAATAGTTTCGATTAATAATTACATTTATCGATTGAATTATTTCTTTTGTTTTTCGTTTGTATTAAATGTATTACTGTGTATAAGTTTATATTTAAAAAAAAAAAAATGTATTATTACGTGTTTAGGAATGGATGTGTATACATTTTTAAATTCTAAAAATCATATGTGTTTCTTTTATAAAAGCATCAGTATTTGATTTCTATTTTATGAGACAGTCTAAATATTTAGAAAGGTTATACGCTGGAGGAGTTTTAAATATAATTGAAAAGAAAAAATGAAAACATAATTTTCATAATATTTTAAACGTTCAACCTGATGTTAAAAATAATATCTTGTATGAATATATTTTAGATAATAAATAATTTATATCACTTATCATATCTATGTCTAATAATAACTAATTTTAAACAATCACCCCTATTAAAATAAATATTTCTATAGTATGTATAAAACGACCAGTTTGTATGTATGTTCATTTTTCTACGTATTCCTTCGTTTAGTTTTGTATGTTCAGTCTAGTTTTGCATTACGACTGCGATATGATACGGGGTTCGGAAAATAAAAAAAAGCAAGTGAAAAAAAAAACGCAATGTATTTATTTTAAATAGTATAATACAAAAAGTAATATTGTTGGTCGTGACTACATAATATTATCTGTATAACAGGTACCTACACTTTATTTCAAATACCGTTGACTGATATTACGTGTTGTCCAATGACAATACTGTAAACGTTTGTACGAAAACGATTACCGGAGCAATTCATCGAAATTATAAATCATCATCGTACGAATCCGAATTTCTTTTTTTGAGATAAAAATACTTAGATCATTTGTACACTCCACTGCGTTACGCTATAGCTATACGTTTGCGTCGAGTTGATTTTTCGTATATTTTGCGCTTACCCGACCCAGAACGGCAATCGTTTATTTTCGATTACGGACGGCTGCAGATTTCGCAACTTGCCCCGATAATTATTTCGGTGAAAACGTTTAAGATAATTATCGTTGAACGTATTATAATATTAAAATACCGTACGGGTTCTATGGTACCATGTAGATGTAGGTGTATGGTAGTAAATATCGTGTAGTACTAACCGATATTCTCACTTTGTATATAATAATGTGTAAAATTATTATATTGCATTTTTTTTTTATCATTTGCTTTTTTTTCCTAAACTCGTACAATACATTCGTTTATTTATTTTATTTTTACGTATACGTTTTTTATTCATATATTTATGTATTTTATTGACAATCGGTACGATTCTGCGCGCAATCGCTGTGTACGGAATCAAAAATATTAACTATGCCTGTTTAAAAGTCGTCGTTCACATATTGCTCAAAATACAAGCGTATTCATGCAAATGGCGTATAAACGTACTATTATCGTGTATGTGAGCGCGTGAAATATCGGAAAATATTCTGTCGGAAACATACCCATTACGTCAGAAACGTATTTTGTCTCATGTTAAAATGTTCAACGTTAGTGTTGCGATTTTCATGAAAGAGTTTCGTGGATTCTCTTGAACGATCACTGGTAGTATTGTAACCGTTATGCAATAGCATGCGAGAC